TGTGGAGCGAAAGATAAAAACAAAATGAACTGCACTAAACCAATTGTCAATCTTGTTATATAATAGAAATTTTGAATTAGTTACTAACTGTGGACAAGGGGGAGAAAACGCAATAACTAGCTTCAATTCCGTAGCGACTAGCACCATCCCCCAATTTCAGAAACCAGCAGGAAAACCGCCTTTTCTTGGATCACTAACTGCCACAATCTCCCTCGTGCCTCCATTGCTCTTCAAAGCCTCTATTTGTTGAACTATAAACTGGCAAATAGATCCACCAGAAAGGGGATTTAGGACATGGCCCTTCTTGTGTAGGGCTTTCCTGATTTGAGCAGGAACTTCAAAGTGATCACCAGTCACGGTTGTCCAATTTTCATACTGAACCACATTAGGTAATAGCTGTTAAGACAGAAATGCATCAGATTAGAAGCTTTAATGGATAACTAAATTGAACTCTACGTTTTATGAACGGTAAAAGTGTAAGCCTCTCTTCTAATCAAACAAAATACAAAAGCTCAATACTGGAAAAGCTGAAGCAGTTGGTGGCAGGGTTAGAGCAACGATAGGTTGCTCAAGGGTTTTGAACTGGAGATTCAGCTCTATTTTGAAACTTGACTGTAATCAGGAACTCATGGTTCTATGTCACATAACATATCTCAAACCCAATGAGGTACCATTTTTCGGTTTAAAAATGTCAGCATTAGCAGTTACCATCTTTAGCATACAGCATAATGGTAGAACTTATTCTGAAAAGTATAAATTGCACTGAAGTTATATCTTGCGTGCGTGAGTGAGTGTGTAATCTGGATGGGACTTAAATGAAAACCTGATGATAGACCCTTGGAGCCATGACGGAAGAGAGTGGATCCAATCCCCTTGCAAAATGATTCAAAAGAACCTGTGCAGTTGCAGCAATGATCATGCCTCCCCCACTTGCGCCTACTACTGCTTTCAGTTGCTCATCCTGTCAAAGCATATAAAGGAAGACATATGGAAATATTTCTCAGGAATACACACTGCATAGAAAAACGTTAAAGTTGAAACTTCCTATTGTTCTTTTATCTACCCCTATCTTCTCTCTTTCACTCCCTCTCCTACTTCTCTCTCTCCTCATTTCTCCATATCGCTTATGCATTACCTTCAGGACTATAGTAGGTGTCATGGATGATAATGGC